CTTTATAAACAGTGTGTGCGTTTTATCATCTTGTGCACGCTGTAATACAGCTGCGATAGCACCCCCATTATTGGGAAGGCGGTTCATTTTTAATTGCTAAAATATGCTGCCTATCAGATGCCAGACAAAACTGCGAACTTGAATAGAGCTCTAAATGGCACTTTCAGTGTTTTCATTAATTATCAAAATTCAACTGGGTTCCTCCTCTTCACGGTGGGCCAGCAGCGCCAAACAAATTGCATATTTTAACACATAAACGATTTCAGGCCCTCTCCTTCTTCCAGTCTCCTAGCCAAGGATAAATTCATTGTTTGTATCTTTAAAATTTCTGAAACACTTAGGGAGGGACGATCTCAGCAGCATCTTTTTGGCCCAGATTCTCCTCTGACACTTCCCTAATCCACACTGCGAGCACTGTAACGTCCGCCCTGTATGAACGTATCTGTAAATAGGGACACTGCGGCATAACAAATTTATAATCCTTTGTTATAATAAACACGTTCAGGAGGATTCTGAAGTTTTCTCAATTCGTTTTGTACCTCTGGCTCCAAACGTTTCACTTCGATTGAACTTTTTTGTGGAAAAATGGCGCAGCAAAGTGGTGTCGCAAATGTTAGCACAAATCCAGCAATGGTTGCTTGCAGTGGGGCGGATACCCAAGTTCGCGCCTGCAATGCAATTTTATGGTTTTGTACAGTAAGAACTATGGTGTATAATTTCAGGGCTGTTGGAATTTTCTATGAATAGATAAAAATGTTCGACAGGGGTTTCTTGTGTTAAAATCGGCATCCAAAATGGAACTAAGGTGAAAACCTCATACTTTACTGGGGCTTTATGATCGGAAGAACAAAGAGTTGGAATGAGACAAGCGTAAAATTTACCTGGTACCAACGCGTCTTCACTATCTGATTCATTGCGACCGGTATACATACTGAAAAACAGTCAATACGTGGTGTAAAATGAAAGAGGTGCACCCAAAAGTGCACTCCTCAACGCTCCAAAAATTTCATATGCCGTGTGGAGATCTCGTCCGCTTCATTCTCTCAGAACTCAAGTTTTTGTTTGCTTCGCGTAGCCTCAAACCCTAATTTACTACTTTGCAACAGCATTTCTCAATTTTTCTGCGTTTTTTGCATCTACGCAATGCAGAGCCGCATACTGCCAAAGAGTTGTCAGGCCGTGTGCATCTGTACCGATTTTTCATCTCCGAACCCAGAAAAGCTAAAAGGGTAAGACTTTGGCAACTTAATCTAAAGGCCTCCCCAAAATGGGCACCCTTACCTACGTAGTTTCCGCGTACGAGCGCGTGGAAGCTTTTGGCGGGTAAGTTGTTAATCGGGAGCCAGAAAGGCTAGAAAGATGAAACTTTCAAGGGGATGTTCTTTGACAATCCTGGTGGCTCGTCTCAGTGCTAGCTAGAAGCATCTGTCGGAAAAAACAATGCCGTTAGCGAGAAAAATCCGCGCGGAACCGTGCAAAACAATGCATCTTCGCACCGGCAGTCGATGCGCTGGCCAATTATTATAACTTACTGAAGGATGGCGTAGCCATTAAGATGCGGCTGATTGTGACATTTGTGATAGCCACTTGTGCTGCTTTCTTGCTCCTGCCAACTTCGTTCCCATTTTCATCTTCCACCACTATGCCATCTACCAGTTCCCTGAAACCATCAAAGGAACCCGCCTGCTTTAAACAGTGAATTTCAACTGTCCTCAGAATCATTATTATGTTTGTGATGTCATGCAAACTCTACAACTTGAAATTTTTAATTCTGAAGAAGTGACACAGCCACCCACTGAAGCAGATTATGAATAATTTGAAAATTCTTGGACCTCGAACCGCTTCTAAGCTGAACCAGTTCAAAACATAGAGCACAACCGTGGGTGAAAATATTGTTAAATGCTGTGGTTCAGCCAGTATCGCGGGTTCTGCCTGTTCGAATTTTGAAGTTAATGTAGAAAAGTTGAAGTGCACAAACTTGGATCGCATCAGAGGAATGTTAATTGCGTTTGCAGCGGCAACGGCACAAAATGGTACCATACGTCCTATTAAAGGTGGCGCGGTCTGCAAATATTTTAACACTGTCAATATTATTTGCTAATATCCATGCAACTTTTGTAAAAAAATTGGTAAGAGAATGGTAATAATTGTGATTTTAGAATGGTAATAATTTCGGTTGGGCAAGGAGCAGTTCAAAAGTTCAATTTCTCCTGAATGTTTGGGTGTAAGGCTTAGAAATTACAATTTCATAGTTCCCTTCCATAGTGCTCTCTGACGGATTTGATCTTGTTTTACTGAAAACGAAACTGTTTAATCAGTCTTCAGGTCACCATCCATAGGCAGACCAAATGAAGAAGGAAGAGGAGCGAG